TCTTTCAACGTCTTTCTTAATTTGGATATCATGAGGAGAGTAGAATGCAGTCAAGACATGCGTGATTCCAAAGGCAAATAGTGGAGCTTCCATGCCCGCCAGAATTGCACCTACCGAGCCAAGCAATGCATAGGGCCATTCTGGTGCATTAAGTTTTAGTAGTTTCCCTATTGATGAAGTAGGAGCAAAGTTTTGCTGAGATGAGTTTTGATCACTTTGCCCCAATTCTTTTATTGAAATTGACCGTGAATCCAGTCCAGGATTTTGAGTGTTGGGAGGTTGTCGGAAGCTAGAACTTCCAGAAGCATCAGAAGAACATATAGAGGTTGAATTTGCAATGTTTTCTGATACCTGCAAGCTCACTAGAGTTGCGTATTCTCCATTCTTAGATATCAAATCCATGTGGTTCCCACGCTCGACAACCTGGCCATTCTTCAAAACAATGATGGTGTCAACATCTCGGACAGTTGATAATCGATGTGCCACAATAATTGTAGTTCGATTTGACACTATCTTATCTAGTGCTTGCTGAACTATGAGCTCTGATTCTGCATCAAGAGCGCTAGTGGCCTCATCTAGAAGCAATATCTTTGGGTTTCTCAGCATGGCTCTTGCAATGGCAATTCTTTGTTTTTGCCCTCCAGAAAGCTGAGTTCCTCCCTCTCCGACCTAAAATTAACAAACTGTCAAAGCATCACACTTAAGCATTCGTCACAGTCACACATCTGTAGAGAAAGGGAAGACAACAAAAATTAAAATGTGGCCATCCTAGTCCTTAAATTTGATACATGTGCCTCATATCATCACAAAAGGAGAGCCACTGGTAATTGTTTCAGTTTCTTGTACAATGCAAGGCCTTTGGAGGACACACCTGTGTGTTATAACTATCAGGTAGTTCCTCGATGAAAGAATGTGCATTAGCAGCTTTGGCGGCTACTATAACCTGCTCCATATCCGCATCTTCTTTACCAAGTAGGATATTGCCAGCTAACGATGTGTCAAACAGAGCGGGTTCTTGACTAACCAATCCCATTTGTTCTCTCAACCATTTTAACTGGAGATTCTTAATATCATGTCCATCCAATAGTATTTTACCTGTTGAACTCCGGTGTATCAGCCACAATCTAAAGTTCCATAAATTAAACATCGAGAAGTGAAACTATTGTAACTCAATGCAGAATTTTGGTCTTACCTGAAATGGGGTCATAGAAACGTTGAACCATGGATATAATGGTGCTCTTTCCTGAACCACTGTGACCTACAAATGCAAACGTCTTCCCAGCATCTATGGAGAAGCTCAAATCCTCAAACACCATATTGGGCCGCGAAGGATAAGCAAAACAGACCTCACAAAACTCAATTTTTCCAGCAACTTCTGGCAAGATGGTTTCACCATCTGACTGCCTTGAAGGCTTTGAGTCTGTTTCAATCATGCTGAAGATATTGGCAGCAGCTGCCCGGCCTTTAGCAATGGCAGCAAGGTTTGGCGCTGCTTGACCTAAAGCACTGCAAAAGCAAAACACCTGTTTTTTATCATCAATTTCGATTAACGAGAGATAAAACAGCATAACAAATTTTGCTACCACATTCAGAGTATACTTACAATCCACTAAAGATGACATTGATAATCGTTGTAAACGCTTTCCCTCCATTTGTTTTACCATGTCTGACAAGTATGCTGGCATACCAAAGAAGCAAGGCCCAGGCACAGAACAGCAGTCCATACGTAAATCCAACTCCCACCCCCTTTGCAAGTCCACTTTTCTTCCCCATTTTAAGAGCATTTTCAAGTGAATCAGAGTATGCTTTAACTGCCCTTTCCTCCCCTACAAATGCGTATACTGTGCGAATCTGTGAAATAACCTGAATTAAGACGCAAAAAAAAAAGCTACCTCCATGAGTGAGAAATCAAGAAAAGTAGTTGGCATGGCTATCAAATTAAATTGAAATATATGTGAATTTTCTTTGTTAGTTGTTCGTGGAGTCTACTGCAAAAGGATGGCCTAACTTGGGTTCAGCCCAGACACATAACTTCTGGACATACTCACAGTGACATAAAATCAATAACCATTTGAAGCAGATATATTCAATCTCTTCTTAAAATTCTACCAGTTTGGTATTTCTTGTGAAGGAAAGAAGGTTTGGAGCCTTCATCGTGCATGTAATTTACCTCTTCTGCGACCTTCCCAGCTTCAGCATAAGCAGCCTCACCTTTTTCTGATAGAGTGGACATGATAATGGTATAAGCTCCGCCTGCAATAGCTATCAGCGGAACTACAGCCAAGGTAAGTAGTGTAAGCTTCCATACAGATGTAAATCCAATGGCAAACCCAACAACAAATTGAGACAGGTAACGGATCGCGTGGCCTGTCTGCGTCAGGATACACAAGAATAGTATTAAAGTAAGTATCTTATCCAAGTTTGAACATTCTGAGAACTGAGAACCATCATATTCCTCTCTTTGGCAACATACCTTGTCACCAATTGCATCTTGGACAAGAATTGCATCACTTGAAATATGAAAAATAATGTTAGAATCGCTGGCTTCAGTGTCAAAGAAGCTTATATCTTTTCTTAAAACTGACTGAAGGTATTTCAGACGCAAACGAGCTGTCTGCCTTTCCCCAGTTTGCATCCAGAATGCAACACCTGAAAAGATAATATCAAGAAGGATGTTAATACTGCAGTCGGCAAAGCAAAGCTGAGCGGTACTTTGAAAAAAAAATGGAAACTGTAGAAGCCAGAGAGGACTGAGAAACATGAAACATACCGATCCATGCTGATGCGAAAACAACGAGACCAAGGTAGACCAAGTACAGAGCATGCTGCAGGAAAGAAGATGTCAAATATCAAGCAAAATCTGGTCACTTGAGGAGAATTCAGATACTATATTTGCTAACATGATGCTGGATTCTAATTGGAAGAAAAAAGTGAGGATGAAAAGAAGTAAAACGGATTAAGAATTGATAATGGAAATGCCTCCAGTTTGTCTTTTTGCAATTTTCATCCCTTGTTTGTATGCTTTGTAGAATTTACTACACAACAACAGTCCAACCGCCACTTCTCTCAATTCTTGGTGGCAAGAATTGCCATGATCGCCTTCATCTGAATCACTTCTCCGGAAGTGGACAATATGATGATTGCTTAAACAAATTTTTGTTGAACCAATTTTAGATCGAAGAACAGGACACAATGCACACGCTTCGACTCGACAGGACTTAACATACCCTAAACCTAGCTTCCATGTCATCACTAAACAAAGATTTCAGAGGGATTGAATTGGCGTAGTACCTCAGAAACCCGAACAGACAATTTTTGAGGATTTGAAGACAGATGTCCTAAAGAATCAATCATGCGACCAAACAAAATGAAGAACACCGGCAGAGCAGCCCCATGTATGCACGCCCCTAAACTTCCAAATAACATCAAGGCGCAATCTAATTTATCAGCAGCTGCAAATAGGCCAAGGAATGAAACAGGTTTGCTTTTGGCCGAACTCGATGGTTGCTCCGTTTTTGGATGCGAATTCTGGTCAATGAGCTCCACTTCTTCCATTTTACCAAGAAGAACAACGCCCACAAATGTCTGGGAAGGATTGGGATAGATGATAAATACTGGACACGAAGCAGGAAAGGAATTAAGTCATGGGGTTCCTGCGTTGGTGTTGATGAGAGGCAGCCCACTCCCGCGCCTATAAATGCAAAGTTAACTTAGTTGGCCAACCAACCACTCGGCTCCTTAACTGTCATTTGAAATTAATCGATGCTATTTATTTTATGTTTACAGAAAACATAATTCAAATTGCTGTCAACTTCCCAGCAATTAAGCAAAAGAATCCAAGCCGGCTTAGTTGTTTCATAACCATCATCAACCCCTTAACAGCCATCTTTCCTTCCACTGGGGACCCTGGTTTTGGGAAACAAAAGAATTAGTATAATAATTAGACACATTAACTTCACAGAGCTGCTCTCTATCATGGAGGGGAGAGTGAAGGACCACCACCACACCATGTGATGTTAGAAACTTTTTTTTGCTAAGATTTGATAAACTTCCAATGGAAGTATGCAAAAGGGTGTTTGGTACTCTTAATCACATGGGTAAATCATCCTGGAATTGAATATTGAGCCTTCGTGCATGAACCATTTTTCCCACTCTTTTCCATTGTTGAGTTAAGCAATCTTGGAATCAGACTTTTGTCTTTCCAGCCACCACCGCCCTTTGTTGGGATTACATTTCCGACATGATATTTGACATTTCACCGAAATCAGGGAATGCGAATAATGCTTATTTCCTATAATTTGTTTTTCCATTGTTATCCATTTGAACCATTATGTTAAATTGGATTGCTTTCGGCCGTTAAATTCTAATCAAATCATTCCACCTTTCTCCAGAATTTGAGTTTGAATACTTATACCTTACTGTTTATGTCACTGTTGATGATGTTTACACCAACATCTCATTGCCTCACTAGGATAGGATTTATGGAAGAAATAATTGCAACTTTTCATATTCTCAACTGAACTTTCTTTTCAGTGTCAGTGATCAAGAGCGAAGCAATTTATACAACTCCCTATCATCTTTTTTTTTTCTCTTTTTTATTTTCATCAAAATTGAGATAAAAGCTTTGGATTTGATATATTTTATATTAAAATTTATATTTTTTTATAAATATAAATATTCAAGACTTCTTAATATTTTTCATTATGAAAAACAAATTTATAATTAAAAAATAAAAATATTAGATGTCTAAGAAAAGGACAATTTCATTTTGAGGTATTAAATAAATAAATAAAAGAGACGGAGAGAGTAATTATTAAATGTAAACAACTTCCTAAACTTTGATTTAAAAAATTGGCCAACTGAATTTATCATTTTTAAAGATGAATTCTTTATTATGTTAGGTCGAATAATACAATGGGCGCTCTGGAGGAGCCTGGGGCCCAATGTAGAAAGTATTTGACTGGGCCTCTACCCGAGCCTTTCGCATGGACCTACGTAAACGCTAAGGCCAAACGCTAGGGTTTTACACTTGAACAATTCTCTGATACACTGGCCAGAAAGAAGGGTTTATCATTCATTAGTTTCCCAGCCACATTGGCCGAAGCTAATCATTACAGAACAAGAATTAAGATTTACCTCTTGTAGTGGTGAGCTCCCCAGTTTCTTGTTCTCTAATTAGCTTTTTTTGGTTTAATAATTAGATTTTTGGGTTTTTTTTTGTCGGGTTTTTCTTGAATTTTTATGTCCTTTTCACTAAATTTTAATTTGAATCCGTTGGAAAGATTTTTGTTTCTTTTTTGGGAAGTGTTGTAAGTAAAAAAATGGGAACTGGAATGTGGCGTCTTACTCTATGCGTCTGGGTAGCTATGGGTGACAAGTGTTTGTAGTTGTCTCTCAGAGAATTGGTTTTAATGGTTCAATTGTGCTAGTTTAATCCTGTTGTTCACAAAAAAGAAAAAATTGCTTTCTTGTTAATTATTTCTGTTTTCTTTGACATGTAATAAAGTGCCCCAGTCGACAGTTTGGTGAAGGAAATTCATGGCATATTCTCAAGCACGTGACTTCATGTTCTGTAGCTTCTGTGGTTCAATGCTGTCTTTGGTATCACCCAAGTATGCTGAATGCCCATTGTGCAAGTTTAAGCCCAGTGCAAAAGGTACCCACTTGATTTATTTCAAAATTCACGGTTTTTTTTTTTTTGTGTGCGTGATCAATCCAAACTTCAAGAAACGTTGTTTTCTACAGAACTGAAAGAAACTTAATTTAGATACTGGATTTGTCTTATGTTTTCACAGCCATGCTCCTATTTTCAGTTAATATCATTCAGTGAAATATTATTACTAGCAGTTTAATCGTTGCTTAAATTTCTGTTTTGGAGAAATCTATGTAAACTATTGTTTTATCTTATTGATCTTCTACTTTACTGAGTTTGTTACCAATATCTTTCAGGGATTTTGGGAAGAGAAATAGGTTACACCATTACTGCTGAGGTATGCCTTGAACTTTGGTACTTCTATTTTGTTGGCTAGCTATCACTGATATGATGATGGCAGCTTAATTATGTGTTGGAAAAAGATGATGATTGTAATGAACGGTCTTTTTAATCAAATGGCTATGCTGATTCGAGAGACAAGAGTGAGATTACAAATGAATTGGGATAGTATTTTCTTTCTTTATTTGGGCGGTTTCTTGTTCTGGATCAGAGATAAAGAGAGATTCTGCAACTTTTCCTTCACATATTGAGATGTTCCTAGTGGCTGGAGTATATGAGAAAGTGGTCCACATTGGCACCTAATAAGTCGGTCATTGTTGGTTTTTCCCTTTTCTTCTTTTCAGAAAAATCAATTCTTCTTCTATGATGTAGCTTAGAGAGCACTGATAGAATGCATATGAAGAATGGTTAATCTATTATGAATGCAGCTAGATGGGTTCTTTTCCTGTATCTAGATCAGCTAGTTGCATTTGCTCGCTGATAGCCTTCCTCTCTTTCTTTCACGCCTCTTTTCATGTTCTCGATGTTAAGTTATTTTACCCCATGTGCTTTTAATGATGCAGGATATACGGAGAGACCTGGGCATCTCACATGTTAGTGAAGGGATGAAAACTAAAGAATCAGCAGCGGTAATTACTTTTATAAAGTTAAAAATAGAGGCATATCTTGAAATCTGTTACTCACAGTTTTAGTATTAACTTTATATGCAGTTGATCAAACAGACTTGTAAAAAGTGTGGACATCCAGAGCTTGAGTACACTACCAGACAAGTAAAACTACGTCTCAATAAACAGTTTTTTTTCTTCTGTGTGTCTGATTCCTGATCATTTCTCTCTCTCTCTATCTTTTCCTATACAGATGAGATCAGCTGATGAAGGGCAGACTGTATTCCTTGTATGCCCAAATTGTAAGTTTAAGGACACGGAAAATTGAGTCTCTGTTCAACTTTCCAGAGCTGCGGGCACCAGTGTAAGAGGCAGGAGCAGTTTTAAGGGTTTTTGGGACTCATCTTCTATCATGGCTTTGGATCAAGGAAAAGTTATATTAAAAAATCAGCTTCCAATTTTTTGTTGAAAAAAATTTTGTTCCGCCGATTGTGTGTAAGTTTCATTACTATCTGAGGTGATTTTCATGTGGAATTATACTGCTTGTGGTTCTTAGAGTAGCCTGGTATGCTTGTTTACTTTGCCCTGGAGAGAAAGGAACAACAGATGCGGTGATTGTCATGTAGAATATACTGTTTGTGGCTCTTAGACTAGCCTGGTATGCTTATTTACTTTGCCCTGGAGAGAAAGGAACAACAGACTTTACGGGAGGCTGCTTCGGACATTGAGAGTATTGCTGCTTCAGAGAATCTAATTTTCATGTAGAATTTGGCATGATTGGCGCTTATAAACAGTGGGAACAGATTGTACTTATTTTCTTGCTTTTGCAGGACTGTTATTTGTTGTAGCAGGGATTTTTCCTGTTTCTTTTGTATGATAAAATCCTATTTATCCGACAAGAAAAATTTTCTTCTTCTCATGCTTCACTGCACTCTACGGACGATGAAATAGAATCATGCAATTGAACAAGCTTCGCAGATATCATGCATGTAGTATTATTGATTTAAATAAGAAAGAAAGTAACATTCCCTGGCAATCTTCTGTTCCAGAACACCCTTACGATTATCAAACTAAAACAAAGAGTGTGGCACAGCCTTACACGTAACGTATGTTCACCCCTATTCAAAAACAAGGTGGTGATCACAATATTCATGCATACGGATCTAAATTACAAAAACAAAGAAAAAAGTTCAACAATCTCTTAACCCAAAGCCTTAGAGAAACGACCCTTCCTTCTTTTTCTTCCTCTTGTGCACCTCAAATTAAAAAAAAAAAACAGGAGGTGATCACAATATTTTCCCATGGCAGAAGAAAATTAAGGAGAAGAACGAGAAAAAGGAAAAATAAAAGTTACTGCCTGATGAAGGAAAGCATACCCTTCTTGCAAGGCGTTTATTTACAGAAAAGACCCTTCACACAGCACCAGAACCGGAACGACAATAAAAACTTTCGTCGTTCAACGGAGACGTAGGAGCCGTCGGAGATTATCAGTGGCTCCAGCATCGACTCCAGCAGCTTCAGCGTTGCAACTAAGCTTTGGTCTAAGCGAAAACTTAGGCAAAGGCAGGCTGCTAGGTGGTGGGGAGAGGGTAAAGACAGAACCTGAAAACTTCTCCAAGTCTTTTGCAACGTTTCCTGTTGCTAGGTACGATGAAGCTAAGACCTTAGGGAGATCATTCGGGTCTGGTCCTATCGGGTTGTTAGCTGACGCCATGACTAATGACTTACTTATGGCTTGTGTTTTCGTCGCCTGATCTGCTGGCTTCGAATCTTTCTTTGGCTCCTCTACTTTGCCAGTGAGTTGCTTTGATTTTGATCTCTTTGGTGTGAGAGATTGGCCTCTGTTCCTGTTGTTTTTTCTGTTAGACGGAGAGGAAGAAAGGCTCCGGGTTCGAGAAGGGAGAGAGCTGTGGAGAGGTTTGTTAGGGGTTGGAAGAGGAAGGAGAGGTGGCTGCTGTTGCTGCAGCTGGTGATGATTTTGATAGAATAATGGATTGAGAAGAGAAGCTGAAGGAGGAAAAGAGAAGGAGAGAGATCGTGGAGGAGCAAGCAGCAGCCCTCCTTCATGGATGATGTTCGTAGGAGCTAGGTTTTCACTTGCTTTTGAAACGACATGAGCTCCCGAATTTCTCTTCGGAATATTCTTGAGTTGCTTGTATGGAGAAAATGATTTCTTACCTGAAGATGACATGAAAATTGCATCCATGATATTGGGTTAATCTGCTCTTTTCTCTTTATAACTTCCGAATAACTTGAACGAAAGATAAAAATCTGACAACAAAAGCCTGGAAAGCAAGGAAAACAAGGAAAGCTTATACAATAATAAAAAAAAGAAATGATCTTTGAAAATAATATGATCCAAAGTCTGAAAAACAAAAGCTTCAAAATCTATACAACTCAGAGGATATCTTTTCTCAATGACAAAACAGAAAAAGGAATGTTTACAACTTCAGGAAAATGCTAAGAACAAAAAGGAGAATCAAACCATCTATTTCTCAACCTCATCAAGAGAAAATAAGATCAAAATATTGGGTTTTTTTATAGATAAAAAAAATCCACTTTCATCGAGGGAAAGATGGTTAATATTTCGATCCCAAACGGATCCAAAAGACACTTTTTCTAACTAAGGGGATTTGGACTTTTTTTTGTTATAGTTTTCTGCACCAAACTTTCATGAATGCTGTGTCAGCTCGGTGCCTCTTTTATAGAAGCCATGAACCCAACGGCTACTTTATTTATTTTCTTTTTACTGTGTTTGTATTTTTAATTTCATTTTTATAATTAAAATGTGACCATTCCTCCTAATTTACCGACAACCGCTGCAGTCGGCTACCTCCTCTGAGTCCAAGACCCGGGAGACACTGTTGGGCGGCAGCCGCCGATTCGATTTTGACCGTTGGATCCAATTATTTGAAATAGCCGTTGCGGATATTATTGCCGTTGATAATTTGCCTCGGGTTCTTGGAGGTTGGTCTGGTTTGAAAGGGACTGGAGCAAATCCTGGCCATACACGTATCCCACGTGGTGGGACCCGTAATCTTTTCTTTTTTGTTTATTTACCTCTTGCGCAAGGAATGACCGGGGCAACACGATATTAAAATATATTAGATCTTCTTTGTAGGCAGAGGCATGAGCGATGGACCATGACGATTGAGAATGGTCCTAGAATAACAAGGCGCAAGAACTTCTCGGATTCGTACACGTTGCAACATGTCAGCCATCGTTGACTGTTCTTGATATGATTTTCCGATCGGTCACTGGTCGGTGCCTTGCACGTGACCTTCTTTCACGTTAATTAATGTGCTGTAATCTTAAAAAAAAATTTATCAATACTAAATTGATTAAATCAAAATCTTATTTAGAAATATCTTAAAAATTATTATTTTAATTTTTTAATAAAAAAACCATTTCCATTCAATACTTGAAAAATTATATCAGATTAAATAAAAATATATAGGGTTGAGTAAATTAGTGAATTGAGTGATTTGATTTACTATATCAAAGATTAAATATATCAAATATTTTTAAAAAATTGATCTAATATAAAAAAATACCAAACAG